CAGTTACCAAGATAAATCTTTTCTGATGTGGAAGATCAAATTATGCTGCAACCACAGAGCATACTTAGACAGTAAGCTGACTCTGATACCAATTGTTGCGGAAGCCAAATGTATATAGTGTGAATGAGTCACAACTACTATATCAAAAATTATGGCAGCCACCAAATAATAAATAAGACAATAAAGCAACAATAAAAAGAACACTAGAATTTGCGAGGTTCGGCCAATTTTGCCTACTTCCTCGGACACAACCAATATTTTATTCCACTCCAAAAATACAAGTGAAATAATACTAAAGAGAGAAGATACAAATGCCTTAAGAAGATAAGAAAGCAAATGAGAGGTGTGTTTCAATCCTAAACATTAGGCCTCCTTTTATAGGTGAAATTTTCATAAACATTTTGCCCACAACCGATGTGAGACTTTGGCAATCAACAGTTATGTGGTGCATATAGCACTTGCAACATTCTGAGTGATCCTTTTTGTCAATGTCTTGATAAATTCAAGCCAAAACATCCAGATGATTGGATCAGGTCTGACTGATCGAGTGGTTGTGTCCGAAAACTCTCACTGAATTGCACGGCAGATGGGTTTCTAAAGTATTCTGGTGTTAAACTGCCTGATACACGATTTTCGTGGTTCAATGAGACAATGACACTAGATGAATGCAGGGCAGTTTGCTTGAGAAACTGTTCGTGTATGGGTTATACTAATCTGGACATACGCAATGGAGGAAGTGGGTGGTTGTTATGGATTGGGGAGCTGGTTGACATCAGACAGCTATCTCAATCAGGGCAGGATATCTACATTAGGGTGTCTGCTTCGGATACAGGTACTGTGCTATTTACTGATTGCCTGAGATACGTTCCGTCGAAAGCATCAAATCTAAGAAACTTGTAGAGACCTTTTTGCTTGCCAAAATGAAACGTCCCTGCCTTTAACTTGGCAAGTTTTGAAAGAACTATACAAGGTTACACCTATAATAGGACAAAACTCTCACTATACAATGCTTGTGGTCAAGAATGATTCACTGAATTCAATTTAATAAGTGTTGTGAAAGATCGTGGGTTAACTAGCACACAATTACACACAAAGCAAATAGAGAAGAAAAATCAACACAAGGATTTAACGAGGTTCGGCTAAACCTAATCCTCATGGCAGAAACAGAGATAGTTTTCCACTATGAATAAGGAGAAAGGCACAATACAATCTATAGAATCCTAACTACAACCCCTATATATAGATCCTAAATAGTCCCAAAGCTATAAGAGAAAGGTTTCCCAATTTGACAAGGACAATAGCTTTTCCTTTCCCAAATCTATTAGAACAATGATTTTTCCTAAACCTATAGAAATTATGGGTTTCCTAAAAATACAAGGAAATAATTCAAGTCACAAATAATAGTAAGGCTTACCAGAAAATAAAGAAAGATGATTGTATATACAAGGATCTAGCTGTAAACATTAAGAAGGTTGTGGTTCTACTTCTCCAAACAGATTACTATCCTTTAGGCTGTCCTAAACACTTTCATGCCCGTTTCATTAGAGATGGACTACTTCAATGCCATCAACAAAGCTCATATAAGGCGAAAAAGATAATCCAATTCCACATTATGGAGAAAAAGTCTTCTTGGACCATCTTGTTTTCCAGGAAATAAATAGAACAAGTATAAAGAAGTGGATAAGAACTTCTACTATTAGTAGAAACAACTATTTAAAATTTTTGAATGGCAATGGAAAAAAAGCTGTCATACTTGCAGTAGCTTTGCCACTATTGGTTGCATCGATTCTGCTAGGTCTAGGTGTAGGCCTGATTCTTTACAAACGAAGGAGAGAGGATCCAGTGATTACAACAAAGGGTAAGCAAATCATACAAAACCTGAAGCGGCTAATTACTGTTATTAATTCTATTTATCACTAATATTTCTTGTGGAGCGTGGTCTGAACAAAGTCTACCTACATGTTCAAATCACAGGGAGATTAGATGGTCACAGCAACAAGAATGATAACAGTAATCAAAGTCACTCTGAAGATTTTGAGCTACCACTTTTTGACTTATTTACATTAACCAAGGCTACAGACAACTTTTCATTTGAGAACAAGATTGGAGAGGGTGGCTTTGGACAAGTTTACAAGGTAGAAACCTCCTCAGACTACAAGTAATGATACTCAAGACTCAAGAGCACATTGAACAAAGCTGTCCAATTTCTTTGCTTTACACAAAATGAAAATTAACTCTTGGAGTCAGTACATACAGCAGTGTAGGATAGTATGATGAGTGGAATGAATTATAAGTAGAGAGCCTTATTTCGAGACCAAAAAATGTTTTAGGAAACAAAGGTATTAAATTCAAAGTAAGAAAGGGGCATAAACTTTGAAGCTTCAATCCAACCATGGGAGAAAATTTTGTCCTTTTTTTGGTGCAAATTAGTGGTATGCTTAACAATTTCTAGCAACATCTCCTCTAAATAGAAATGAACTGTGTAAGTGGATGCGGCCAAAACAAGAACTTGACTGGAATAGTAGGGCAAAAATGACCATTCCCTCCATTGAATTTCTAACAGGACTGCAACTTTTACAGGGTGTGTTAGAAGATGGACAAGAAGTAGCAGTGACGCGGCTTTCAGAAACATCAGAGCAAGGACTTCACGAGTTCAAGAATGAAGTTAACTGCATCGCAAAACTTCAGCATCGAAATCTTGTAAAGCTTCTAGGATGCTGCATTCGAGGAGTAGAGAAGATGTTTCTGTATGAATACTTGCCAAATAAAAGCCTTGATTTATATATATATGGTTAGTCTTTCACATCTAGTGTGCGCCATTTCTTTCAATGCAATCAATTGTTATGAGTGATATAAAACACCTCATACTTAAAATGCTAATGTTCAAGAAGGGAGCTTCTAATTTGATTTCAAGCGGAGGTTACTTTCGTGTTTATTGAAAATTATTGTAATAAGTTGAAAACATTTGGCAGGTTTAGAAAGGAGCGCAATACTTGATTGGCCTAAGCGCTTCAACATTATTAAAGGAATTGCTCGAGGATTGATGTATCTTCATCAAGATTCTAGGCTCAGAATCATCCAGAGACTTGAAAGCTAGCAATGTCTTGCTTGATATTGAAATGAACCCAAAGATATCAGATTTTGGGATGGCTAGAAGTTTCGGAGGAAACGAGACAGGAGCCAATACACGCCGTGTTGTTGGAACATAGTAAGATTTAATCTTTGACATGTAGTTTATGAGCACTTGCATATCCTGCATTATATAATCCTGCGGTTTCTTTGTTGCAGTGGTTACATGTCCCCGGAAGCCAAATGTATAGAGTATGAATAAGTCACAACTACTATACCAAAAATTATGACAGCCA